ATATTTGTACGTATTCCATCTTCCTCTCTGACTAACTGTAGGGTACTTAGGTTTAGGAATAAAAATCTAGATCATCTCTTGTTTGTAGGGTATACTTTGGACCTATAAATTGCCACTGGAAGCTTTTATTTCGAAGACTAAGACTATAAATTGTGTACCCTAAACCAAAGTATTGATCTATTGTGAGATCATCAGCTTTGGACATGACCATTTGCGACCAAGGTTTAGGAGCTTTGTGCAGTTGATATGGTTATGAGTGGATGGCTTGCAGACTTCGTAGTAATTTGCGTCTTCGATCTTAATGTTATTGTTGTTGTTGAAGCTTAACCGCATTGCTGACCAGGTTGGGCACGACGAGCACCTGTGCTTCCAACATTGAAATGTATATTATAAAACGTGCGATAAAGAGGCGTCAGGACTCGGTCTGAGAAAATGTGGAGCAAATACAAAGGATTCACGCTATGATAGACATTTCTCAATCCCCTACCTGTTCCTCCACCCTGCTCCGTAATTCACACCCAATTGGACATTGCAGTGCCAATAGCTATACGCTGCATTCATTCCTCGTCTCACGCCGTCGTGTTCATTGCCATCAACACCAGCCACCATCCTTGTCGTTACGTTGGCCGATTCCTTTATGCTTGCCAACCTCTTAAAGTTACTTTGTGCCAGGCCCTGGAAAGGACCAATGGTAGTAAGCAAAGGCGGCCAATTCTAATTGCCGACCATGCAATTCTAATTGGCAGACATGCATTGAGTTGTTGGCAGCCGATTCCAATTGAACCTGCTTTTTGCAGCCAATTCCAACTGGACCTGCTCTTGGCAGCCAATTACAATTAAACCTGCTCTTGGCAGCCAATTCCAACTGGACCTGCTCTTGGCAGCCGATTCCAATTGAACCTGCTTTGAGTATTATCAGCGTTGGCATCAAGTTCAAATGTTCCAAATGTCACCGATGTGCCGACACCATCGACATCTACCTGTGTCCCCTAGCCCCTGAGCTTGCGCCGCTTGCTGTAGCGTCGCTTGCAACATCCCACGTTACCCTTATGACATCGACTTGCTTGCAAATGACCCCGCATTTGCTCCCATTCCTGAACCGACCCAGGCCATGGCGGAGGCGACTTCGAGGGAGACAACGGAGGGCTCAACAACACAGCATATTACTTGTACTTGACTACCATCGACCTGGGCGATGAATTCTGCGATGTCACATACCCTGCACCCAAGTCGGCCGAGCTCGAGTACCTCGACAAGTAGCTCGGATCGTGACCTGCCGATGCTACGTCGTAAGACAAGCTCTCATATCCAAACGCCCCATCATAGCACGCCTCTGCTCTAGCTCGTGGCGACCCATCGTAACCTCCTCCGCTACGACCTCCCGTCGTCACTGCTTGTGCCGTTGCAGGCAGCAACTGGAGCTACTTCAGCGTGTGTGCAAAAAACACACATCCAAACGACGATAATTTTGCCCATCTTTGCACGGTTGCATCTAGTATCGAGCCGGATGCAGCCAACACTTGAACACTCTGTGCGTGAACTTGCATGCATCGCCTCTCCGAGAGCTTTCCTTCCAAAAGTTCAAATATGTCGCCCCCGAGTAGTGGTACTGCCTCGGATCGCAATGCTTAGTTTTGTTGCCTGGGTGGACAAACGGGCACTCCGTTCAATCATGGATCCTCCTCCTCGTCCATTGCTTTACCTTGAATTCAAACATCCACAACTGGTCGACCCATATATGTCCACCACCGGCTATGCCTCCTCGTCCATGTTGTTCGACGGCAGAAACTTATTGAATAGTGCATGAAAAAGTGTCGGTGATCCCAGTGACAATACCCCGGCTTCCAGCGATGATGCCGACCTCAAGCTCAACCCTCGTAGGGCCGCTTCACCCGCTCCACTTCTTCCTTCCCGCTCCCCGCCTCAATCAACGATTCTTTATCCAGCATCAAAAATCCTGAGAACTCACCCCTCGACACCGGCAAGCTCGACGGGCTCAAAAAGAAATTATTGAATGCGTGCAACTGCGCGCTCTTCCTGCCCCTCAAGTTGTGGCTCCTCTGATACATCCCACCCAACGCGCTATCTACAAGCACCTCATCGACAGGACCCCGACCCTCAGCTTTCCTGACTCACATTTCGAAGGTTACAAATTGTGTCATCCTTTGTTGTGTTTGGTGTGAGAAGCATGCAGCATCTTCCTTCGTTGCATGTCATGCATGCAGGTGGATGCTTTCTGTTTTAAGATTATTTTCCATCTCCATGATAATAGACTAAAAACTTTTTCACCGGAATATGGTTTTCTACAGAGTCGAGTTATGGAAATCAATTGGAGTTCTAGTTGGAGGACTTGATTCTCATGTTGGCCGGACTACATTAGAATAGATTACATCGGGTGTAATCATAGAATCGTATGGTATGACATCTGTTCAACCTTGGTCATCTCATTGAGCCTAGTATATACTTCGTCGACCTCCTCTAATTGGGAACCATACATACATACACACACACACATGAAAGCATGTAGAGTTTTAGACACAGGTTGACATGTTATGCAGGTGGTGGAGTAGACAAGAATTGACCTAATAAGGAACATGCGAAGCGATGTAACGTCCCTCTGTCTCAAGCTCCTATTTCAACCTAAAACACAACAAAGGAATACAATCACTCACCGTAGAAAACACACACACACACATAAAATAAATAAATAAATAAATAAATAAATAAAACAGAAACAAAAAAAAATAAAAAACAAAAAACAAAAACAATGCAAATCGCCCCAAGAATGCCTCAACTTCACTTCGAAAGAAAAAATAGATCAACACAGGGCAGCCGAATTTTGATCCAGCATAGGATCACCTCCAATGCTTGGAGTTTGAGCTTGGAGTCTGGCTCACCTCGCCTTACATCACAACTTCATCTTTGACTGGATTAGATAAACTCGGTTTAGGATTTTAAGAATTAGAGGTTTTGCAACACTCGCAAATTGTGAAGCTTAGTTCACAATTGCTTTCATGCCTCCACTCATTCTCAACGCCACAATTCAAGATTACTGGCTGCTGCATACCTCAGAATGCAATAGCTTTCATCATTTCATGTGAGCCAAGGGAAGCAGCACCCCTTCACAAATAACCGACACATTCTATATAACACAAAACAAAAAGATACAAACAAAGCCAAATACACAAAATGGACCAACAGCCTGAACAAAGCAACAAAATATATAAAACAAATGTGTCATACAAAACTTGAAAACCTACAAATGAACAAAAAGTCCACATTCTCCATCAACACAAAAATCCCAAAAACAACAACAATAACAACAACAACACAAAAAAAAGAAAAAAAGAAAAAAAAAACCTGTACTACCTTCCAAGAGATTGTAGGCAAAATCTTGCACAAAATATATTTCTAAATAAACCCACATGCATTCGAGGATGGCGAATACATGTGACAGCTCATGAACTTGAGCAGTAAATCCTGTCTTTGTATCCATAACAAGAGCCCATAGATTTGTACAAGAAGCCACACTGCTTATATACAGACCGTCTTCATTACCCTTTTCCACGTGCTCCGTAAGCCGGGAATCAGCTGCATCGTAGTGATACCTGCACGTCGAAACAAATGTAGGAATGAAAGTTCAATAAATGGGTTTGTCCGAATTCAGGCTCCTTGCTGAAAGTAAATGCATGTCGTAGAAATCGGAATAGCTGATCGACATCCAGGAGGACAAAGTCAAAATCAACGATACACACATGACCGGGCTCATGCCTAACTGAGCAACATCACACCACATCAATGACGAAAGCTCGCACCGCCTTACCTCTGCTTCATTTGGCCACCGAGCGTTGTAAACGTTGTAATCCATTGAGTTGCGGGCATTCCTAACCGGATCTTTTTCTTAGGTTGGTCATCCTCATCTTCTTCAACATCTGATTCGCCCTCTCTTCTGACCAACCTGTATGGAACACTAGAAACAAAAGGCTTTATTAATATGATAATCAAATGAAGAGTAGGTTCAAAAAAAGAATCCTCAGTGTAGGGACAGGAAAAACGAAACAAAAGAAGGTCATAGAATGCACCTTTTCAACACTGTCTGTGTTTATAGGTCTCACAGTAGGATTAGGACCCAAGATGGAATCGAAGAGTAGAACGAGCTTGCCGTGGTTTGGTTCTTCATCGAACTTCATATTTGCGACCATCTCCAAAACGTCTGTTTAAAAACGGAACCGGGCAGAAACAGCACAGCATTTCGGGAGAAGTTGCCATTTTCTTCTTCCACACCAGAAAACCTTTGTTGTCGCCCTACAAAACCAAATATATAGAGCACGTCCAAATGAAAAATAGTGAGAAGGAAAGAAGGAAGGAAGGAAAAATAAATAAATATATATATATATATATATATATATATCGCATTGATCACTTCTTCATTAGCTACTAGCTACAAAGTTGATCAGTACCTGATAACCTTGTCAAGGAAGACTACCCTGCATAAGAAATACCAAAGTATAAGCCAGTGATCCCAAATCGTCCTTCCTACTCCCAGTCCTTCCCATATGTGCATGCACACTCGCATAGCGAACAGTTCCACTGCATGTACGAAAATTATACAGAATCAAAATATAGCTCAAAAGCAAAACAGTCGCTCTCAACCGCCAAAATAGGAATGGCAACTACAGATCAGGACAAGGGGGGGAGGGGGAAGAGCCTCACCGGAACACATCAGGCCTTTGGTCATATTCTACATGCTGACCGATTGTACCATCCCTCCATCGAGTAGCTGCATATATGAGAGAAAGACGTTAATCTTGGTGTGAAATTGACTTGTGCATGGACATAGCGGTAATAAACTCATTCAATTCTCAGTCCAGATGCTCTTCATGTAACAGTTAACAGATGTTAAAAAAAAAAACAAAACAAAACAAATGTAACGCCAAATTGGAGCAAAGGAGGTTGCTAATGTGTGAACAAAGAACAAATTGCAGCACAACGATACTGAAAACTCACCAAGCCTGAGATGTATATGAAAAAGCTTCTTCTCTTCAGGTGTATTGGGTTGTCCCAGGAGAAAGTTCTCGGGCTTCACGTCTCCATGTGCATACCTGCTCAATCAGAACGAGCTGCCCTAAATACTTGCGCTTGACCCCGAAGAGTTCTAGACATCCCGGAGACTTGGCCCGAGCATATCCATGACCTACAGCATGTGAACGAAGTCAAAATCGGATTAAAATAAATAAATAAATACATAAATAAATAAATAAATAAATAAATCATGAGTCAAGTTTGAAAAGAAGACGACTACATGAAAACTAAAGGTCTGCTTGGACTACAACAATTCAATAGGTGACTCACCATGACGTAGTAGTCGCCTTGTCGACCTTTGTAATATACACGACCAACACCATGGCTTCCACCAAGAGTGCTGGAGAAAGAACCCGCGCCAACCATGGAGGTTTAGGAGACAAGCCCTAATCACATTTGAATGATGAAAATAAGAAATACAGAAAGATAATTGCGACACTAGTAATCACATCCCAAGAGTGAAATTACAATAGTACGAGCTCGAGACGCACTTGTAAACCTGCCACTCGCAAGGAGGACCATGATTGCAGCCCTTACCACTCCGATGCTCGAACTTGCTCGAACTTCAACCCCGCAACCTGCACAAACGAGTTCAACGTGAGTACAAAAACTTATTACATTAATACCTACAAGACCTCGATGTAATGTGCAGAGCATCTCCCAAACATGCCGCTGTGACCAAGGTTTAGAGCAAAAAAAATTGTAAGAAATTGAATACCTCAACAGCCTGTGGACCAGCACGCTCCGTCCCACCGCTCCGTCCCTGTCATTACGTTGGCCGATTCCTTTATGCAATGTACCAGGTTTAGAGACTGCAGCAGTGAATGAAAAACAAGAACCATGAGGAGGCTTAAAACAAACCCCATGTTCATTGAGCCAAAAAGTTGTCAAATCTTCTAATTCTATCCCAAAACAAATTCAATCCTAAACCAGGTTTCAACAATCCATGAAACAATTAAATTGGGAACCATACACCACACAAACATGGAAGCATGTAGAGTTTTGGACAACGTTTTACATGTTATGCAGGTGGTGGAGTAGACAAGAGTTGAGCTAACAAGGAACATGCGAAGCGATGTAACGTCCCTCTCCTTCAAGCTCCTACTTCAACCTCAAACACAACGAAGGAGCACAGTTACTCACTTTAGAAAACAAACAAAACAAACCAAAACAAAACAAAAAACAATAAAATAAAATAAAAAATTGATTCAAATCGCCCCAAGAATGCCTCAACTTCACTTCGAAAGAAAAACAGATCAACACAGAGCAGCCGAATTTTGATCCAGCACAGGTTCACCTCCAATGCGACCAGGTTTACGAGCTTCGAGTCTGGCTCACCTTGCCTCGCCTTGCCTCACATCACAACTTCGCCTTGCCCTCAATACGTTACTTGGTTACGGTTGTGAGTCTGAACACAATACTTTCGCATTCGGGGATCTTCACTACACATGCAACTAAGTGCATTTCACTCCAATACATTTTCACGGCAGTGTTATAATTATTTAAAATAGAATTTGTTTAGCATCAAAAAACAAAAAAACCAAAGAGTAAATACAAATTTGGTCTATGGAGACAAGGAATTCAAGAAGTTCGAAGGAATTCAAGAAATTTCAATTCAGAATTTAGAAACTTGTGTCGAACTGGGACTCACGCTGGGACTGAGAGTCACGAGACTAGGGAGACTCGCGCCGGGATCGAGGCTCGCAGGCCCGAAACTCGTGCCGAGACTGGGACTCGCAGGACTGGGACTCTTACCGGGACTGGGACTCGTAGGACTGAGACTCGCGCTGGGAGTGGAATTCATGCCAAGCCTGGGACTCATGGAACTGGGACTTGTGTCGAAACTGGGACCCACTCCGAGGTCCGCTAACTGGTGTCGCATCCAATCCACACTCCCATTGTGAAGGTGCGAGTCTCGGTTCCACTGCGAGTCCCTGTCTCAGTTCCTTGCCCTGGTGTCTCACTCCCTCCCTCTCCCACCATGCATCATTCGAATTTTCTTCCCTTTCCTTCCAGTGTACAGGGTGAGATTGGGCATCGGAAACTGAATGTTTGTTGCTTGTCTGTCGTTGTATGGAGGGGAATGAGAGGGTCGGTCTGAGCACATGCACTGAGTGTTAGTTGCTTGTTTGTCGTCACCTGGACGTGGAGGAAGAAGGGGGAGGAGGAGGAGGGTTTAGGGTTTAGGGTTTAGGAAAGAATGAATCTGATGCTGTAAGGGCATTATTGCCACCATGGAACTCCTATGTGCCCTTTGTTCAATGCGTCCTCCATGGGAATAGAAACTGTCGATGAAGTTATTGGTTGCAGTGCAAAGATGGAGTTTTTCTTCTGGCCACATTTGATAGTGGTAACTAAGGAGTAACCAGGTTTAGCCGCGGCTATGGTTCCATCAGTGCTTATCAAAGTGGGACAGGAAAATCTGTAAACTTGGTCGAACGAGTCTCAAGTTCCGTGAAAATGATGCTACCAAGCAGATTCCCACTAAACCTGGGACAACACAAAAAAGACAAGACTTGAGCTCCGTAAAAATGATGCTACCAAGCAGATTCCCACTACACCTGGGACAACACAAAAAAAAAAACACTCGAACTGTATTGGAAAGCCAAAGGCAAGAACTGCTCCAAAATCGCAGGGCATGGCTTCTGGGACGGAAAGAGGCGAAGCGCCTGTTGGAAGTGGAACGAGAGAAGGCAGCCATACTGGAATAGGAAAAAGAGGGGATATTGGTTAACCAGTATATTGGATTGAAACGGAAGAGTTACGGGCAGAAATAGGAACTTGGAAAGCTGCTGTAGTCACAAAATTGGAGAGTGACCCAGCCAGTATTGGTCGGTCACGGATGTCTGCCCCACCAGTTTCATCAATCAGTGAATTGGAGGAGAAGGTGAGGCAACAGCAGCACCAATTGGGAGCAACCAGGTTGTCAGGATTTTGCGATTGGAGGCCCAAGTTTGTGAATTGGGTTTAGGGTACGATGAAGACTTATCAGTCTAATCGCGGGGAGAGCCGATGGAAGTATCGGAGGAGGACGAGGACTCATCATTAGAGCCAAAACTTGTGGAGAACCACCTCCAGTGAATGTTGGAGTTGACCAATCCGGCAAGCCCATAGTGGTAGAAAATTTGTTCAGAAAATCACTAGAAAAGGTTTTACCAGTTCATTGTTGGCGAGGACGCTGCACAGTTGGGAGCGGGGTCAGATAGAATGGGTAGGATTTTATTTATTTATTTATTTATTTTTGTGTCTTACAATACATTGTATGTAAGGTTAAGAAAAGCCAGTAAATTGATGAGTGGATAGTTTAGAGGGTATGATAGATGATTAGGAAGGAAAATGTAGTCAACATCAGATGTGTAATGTTTGGTATCCGGGGATCACAATACTTTTGCATTCGGGGATCTTCACTACACATGCAACTAAGTGCATTTCACTCCAATACTTTTTCACGTTAGTGTTATAATTATTTAAAAATAGAATTTGTCTAACATCAAAAAATAAAAAAAAAAAAAAAAAAAAAAAAAAAAAGAGTAAATAAAAACTTGGTCTATGGAAACAAAGAATTCAAGAAGTTCGAAGGAATTCAAGAAATTTCAATTCAGAATTTAGAAACTTGTGTCGAACTGGGACTCACGCCGGGACTGAGAGTTACAGGACTAGGAAGACTCACGCCAGGATTGAGACTTGCAGGACCGAAACTCGCACCGAAACTGGGACTCGCAAGACCGGGACTCTTACCGAGACTAGGACTCGTAGGACTGAGACTCGTGCTGGGAGTGGAATTCATGTCAAGAGTAGCTCGTAGAACTGGGACTTGTGTCAAAACTGGGACCCACTCCGAGGTCCGCTAACTGGTATCGCATCCAATCCACACTCCCATTGTGAGGGCGCGAGTCTCAGTCTTGGTGCGAGTCTCGGTTCCACTGCGAGTCCCAGTCCCAGTTCCTTGCCCTGACGGCTTATCTATGTAAAGTTTGAGAATAGGTCGAGGGCATTACACCCTCGATGCCTCCAATCATTCGCTTTACTTGATAAAATTCTTACACGAGCTCCAGCTATCCCGAGAGAAACTTCAGACGGAACCAGCTACTACTAGATGGTTCAATTAATTGGTCGCCCCTACACCGAAGTCTGACGAATGATTTGCACGTCAGTATTGCTACGAGCCTCTACCAAAGTTTCCTCTGGCTTCGCTTTGCTCAGGTATAGTTCACCATCAATATAAATTACACGTTAGGGAAGGAAATTAATGTGTATGACTACATTCAATGAAATAAATGTACTTTGAACATGTCAAATAACGTACCATTATTCCTTCAAACCAAGTATTATAATGTAAAAAATAATAACAATAATACATGAGGCTATATTATAATGTAAAAAATATATACAGTGGAATAAAACCACATTCCAACCTGTGAATACTTACAGTTACTTAAGCACAATATTATAAGTATATCCAAAAATAATATCATCAAAATCCACCACAAATGTTGATATATCCATCAATATATCCATCTCCATTGCTACAAGACTATTCCCGATCAGTGGCAGGAGATACTTGTTTGTCTTCTTTTTTGCCCTTATCAAACAAACATTTGCTTGTTATCCACTATGCAAAGCTAGTTGTACTTATTACTTAGTTGAACAAGCATTAAAAATTATAAAAACAAAAAAAATAAATAAATATCAAACACCAAAACCAAAAGCTATAAAAAAATAACAAAGTAATATAATATTATAAATTTACCATGAATTCTTTGATGGAGAACGGATTTTCCAACAAGTGTCGTTCGTAAAAACGTTTCTTTTCAAGAAATCCTTCTCGAGTTTCAACAATACGAACATTCCCATTCTTATCTTTGTAGTCTATTATACCGGGCCCGTCGGGGTGAATTAATCGCCCGAGTTGTTTATAAAGAGAGCATTTTTGAAAAAATACAAGACCCAGTAAGCCCTTTCCTTGAAGGTGCCATGTACAATGTAAAAGTTCACTTGGCCTAAAAACACAAACATGCCCATGTTTGGGTACAAACATAATCGATGCTTCTGGGAAAGCAAATATGGCTGGTTCATTTTGTTCCGATGGATCTAATTCAATAAATAATCCATTGTTAGTATAAAAGTTTAAAGTTAAAAAACATGTTATCTAAAACATCAACACTCCAATTATTTTGTTTAAAAAAAAAACAAAAAACATTGCATTACATTTACATACAAATACTGGAAATTCCAATAAAAAACTAAGTTGTATTATATTACCTTCGTGTAGCCATATTATGAATCCAAAATCATAATCATCTTCATCACAATGAGGCCTACAATTGAAGTCCCTCGTGATAGCAAATGATGTAAATGGTCCATTACCAATACAAGCACCACTATTTGAAAAGCCTTCAGCAATCACAATATTATCCAAGTGTTGAAATAAACTTTCATACGACCTCCTTAAAATATGACAAGTATATTTCGTAAGTTCTTCAGATAAATGATAATATTCTGGCCTGTTTTGAATATACCTATATAACACCCAACCATAAAATCAAATCAAATAACATTGAAACATAATATTACTACATTTAAGAATTTAAAATTTTTAATTATTATATCAAATTTATATATATATATGAATATACATATACAAAACTCACCAACCAGTGTCTCCATAAGCAGAACACATCCCAAACATAGAAATACTTGAACTTTCTTTTGCTGGCGATCGGCATAAGTTTCTCCCACCCTTCTCAAGATATGATACTATTTTTGTAATTACTCGAAGTTCTTTAGGAGTGAAAATTCCATTCCTCAAGTCAATTAATTTATCTTTAAAAAAACCACTTCTAGTTAATATTGTTGGACTTTCAACACGCGGGAGTTGAAGCAATTGTTCTGTTAAACCTTTATTTGTAGTTTCAAAATCAACCAATCGCATACTCCGTTGGATAAATATTTCACCTTCGTTTAATGAAAATTCTATTGTTTTCAATTTCTTGTCATCGCCATGATTATAAGTAAATTTTTTAATATGGTATAACAACTCACCTACAACATTAGGCAGCTGCATCTTACATTTTTGGCAATAATATGTAGTACCGCCTGGAAAGTAATCCAATCCTTCTTTTTCAAATAAACTTTTGAATAAAGCCAATTTTTCTTTCCTCTCATGTTTTGAATCAGGTTGAAAATGTTGATCCAAACAAGGTTTCTTGTTCGGGACCTCACATTCACAAAATTCACACCATACCATGCTCGTATTGTTTCCATAACCATCGTTGGGACTTTTTTGTTTTTTTTCCATTTTCCTGCCAAAATTGTTCTCATATTTTCGCCTTTTTTCCATCGTCCACAATGAAATGAACCTGTGGAAAATGAAATAAATGCATGTAAAATTAAATAAATTCGAATAAAATAAAACAGATCTATGAAAAATGAATAAGTGAGTACATAGTTATAGCGGAGCCCATCGAATCAATATTTTATATGGTGCAACCAATTATGCATTAAAACATTTTATATTCCACAAATTTTCACAAATCATGAATTCTGGACCACGGACATTTTTTTTATTTTTTTATTTTTATCCATCCCTGAATGGTCTTCACAGTGTTACACCCACCCCGCTAATTTAAAATTGTGAAGATTTTCAAGTTTTCATGAATTTCCCCAATAAGTACACAACAGTACTGGCAAACTCTGAACCTCGGATCATAGATGCTTTCTTGCTTTTCCTTGCCCGTAACTATTCATTTCCATATCAGTCGCACCTCATAAACCTCAGATTACGAGGGCTTTCACGCTTCCATGAAAAGTAGTAGATGAACTCGCTTTCCCGTATAAATCGCGTATCATGTAAATCATAATAGAATAAAGTTACACAACTCCAGTCCCCTCGTTCAACATCAATCCGCACACTATTTCCTTACTTCTACTCATTCCCAAACACTGAACACAACATTACATGCACTCACCCAACTTCAAATTACGAAGATTCTCAGGTTCATATGAATTTTCCCAACAAGTACACAACAATACTAGCAAACTATGAACCTCGGATCATAGATGCTTTCTCGCTTTTCCTTGCCCCTAACCATTCAATTCCATATTACTCGCGCCTCGTAAACCTCAGATTACAAGGGCTTTCACGCTTTCATGAAAATTAGTAGATGAACTCGCTTTCTCCTATAAATTGTGTATCATGTTAATCATAATAGAACAAAGTTACACAATTCCAGTCCCCTCCTTCAACAATAATCTACACACTATTTCCTTACTTCTACTCATTCCCAAACACTCAACACAATATTACACGCACTTGGCCACCAGCTAGAACAAAGCTTTGACCCAAATAGAGAGGGTGCAGTAATGAACACGGAGGTGGCACGACCAAAGGCCGAGCAATATAGAGAAGATGAGACTAGAGTAAATTGAGTCAATCAGGAGAAGGAGAACGATCAGGGGAGGGAAGAATCCGATCTGGCAAAATCGGCATCCACGGTGGAAAAATAGGCGAGAGAGAGAGAGGTGGAAGGGGTCGGAAGCAGGGAGCGGCGAGGGACGACCAGGGGGCGATCAACAGGAAGAACGAGAACGAGACCACCGTAGAGATAAATCCTCAACTCAGAGGGGCAGGACGAAGGAGGAAGGAATAATCCAACAGAGGTAGGAGGTTCAAAGAAAAGGAGGGTAAGGAGGGCAAGCAGTGCCAAACAGAAGACAATGTGTGTACGTGAGGATACAGTTGGAAGAAGAGAGATCTCACAAAGAATAGCCCTGCATGCAATCGTTAGTGGGGCGATCATCAAAAGTTCTCTCTCACACACACACACACACACACGCAGCGATGGCGATGACGACAATGACTGGGAAGGACGAGTATCTCCCCCTCCCACACTTCATATCCTGCCATCCCCATCTCCCCTCCCCCGTCATACCCACCTTCCAGAATACCCTGATTGACCCCCTACCCTGATCATCGGGGTTTGTCTCTCCATGCCACACACTCATGCCTCTTACCTCCACCACCACCACAACTCAAACGCCAATTATGACTCAAATGCCAATTACTTCCCGCTGCTTCTCGGTCCAATTAGCTACAATCCCAAAACACTAATGCACACATTTCCAACTAGGGTGTAGGAAGAAGGGTTTAGACAGCAGTACCGCAAGGTGCAAAAGTAGATCTTTGTCAATGGGAAACAAGAGGATTAGATATGATTCGTCAGAGTTGCAAAGAGGAGTGAAGGTGGGTGCCCGCACCGCACAAGGAAATGAAGAGCATGCAAGTACAAGAAGGAAAGCGAGGATACAGCAGGACGAAGAAGCACAAAACGGCGGAATATGAAGAGAAGGTGAGAAGGTACAAGAGAGGGCGTCGAATGAGAAGCGGGGAGGGAGAGAGAGACAAAGAATTGCACGCACATACACACACAGAGAGATACAGGGAGAGACAGAAAGACAGAGAGAGATCTCACAAAGAATAGCCCTGCATGCAGTCGTCGATAAGGTGATCATCACGAGTTCTCATACACACACACATGCAGCGACGACGATGACGACAACAACCGATAAGGAGAAGCATCTCCCTATACTTCATACCCTGTCATCCTCGCCTCTACTCTCCCATCATACCCGCCTTCAAATTTATCCAAATTAACCTCCTAGCTTCAAGCCTCCCCTTCTCCCTTCATACCCGCCTTCAAAGATACCCGGATTGACCTCCCTGCTTCAACCCTGGTCATTGAGATTCGTCTTTGCATTCAATACACTCTCTCCTGGGTTCCTGTTTCAGTAAATACTTTTATAACTAATAATTTATTTAAATATTTACCATAAATATATGCATACAAATTTTTAATTTTTAATTTTTAAAATAACCAAAATAATTGTAAAAGAAACCCTCACCGGATTAAAGAATACTTGGGCATTTAATAACAATCCACAATCATATAATGCGCTATGACACCTGCACATTCACATCACCTAGTGGAGTCGAAGGTTCACAATGGAAAAAAATAAAATAAATAAAATAAAAACCTCACTTTGGATACCAAGAACGATTAGGGAAGGAGGGACTCTGATTTGGCAAAAATGACATCCATGGTGGAAAAATGGGCAAGGGAGAGGTGGAAGGGGTCGGAAGCGAGGAGCGGCGAGGGACAAAGCAACCGATCCGCAGGTCAAACAAGGCGAGGAGGACATGACCACCGCAAAGATAAACCCTTGACCCAGGGGGGCAAGGCAAAAGAGGAGGGAATGATCCAGCAGAGGTGGAAGGATCGAAGGAAAAGAGAAGATCAAAGAAAAAGAAGGCAAGGGGAGCAATGCCAAATAGAAGATAATGTGTGTGTGCGAGTGTGTGAGGATACAATCGGACAGAGAAGCACAAAACCGTGGAATACAAATAGAAGATGAAAAGGTAAGAAAGAGAGTGTTGAATGAAAAGAAGGGAGAGAGAGAGAGAGAGACGCATGCACACATATACATAGAGAGGGAGAAAGACAAAGAAAGACGGAGAGAAAGGTCCCACAATGAATAGCCGGTGGAGCGATCAATAGGTGCCACCTTCCTCCACCACTATCAAATCCTTGTTCCTACTAGTCTTGGCCCTTGTCTCAGTTCCACTGCAAGTCCCTATCCCGATTCTTTACCATGGTGTCCATTTCTTTTTTACTTTCATAATTTATTAAAAAAATTATAAAGCTATAATAAATTACACTTCTCCAGCATGTATGTACATATATATATATATATATATATATATATATATTTCTTTTCTCTTTTTTCTTTTTTACTTGTGTAGAATATTGTTATTTATTTATTTATTTTTCTCCCAAAATCCCTAGACTTTAAACCTGACAGGATCTGATGAACTTTTTATCCATAAAAGTTTTACTTTGTCCTCAAATTTTAGAAATTTTGGTTAATTAAGTAAATCTATACTTATACAAGCTGTGTGGTAACTTCAAAGAACTCACACCCTATTGTACTTCTCCAAGTTCCTCCACTTGTCTTTCAAATCAACTTTAGTGCATCTACAAAATGGATTTGCATTGTTGTTCAAAATCTTCTTCCAATGTCCTTTTCCATGCTCTTGGACTTGCCGCTTCTAAAGCTCAATCTCCTCATCTTACCATTTCTTTTGGATTCATCTTTGTGTTGAGCCTGACCCAATCGTAAGAAGAGACTCACCGGGTTTGCATTCACGTACAGTTTGTTCAAAATTGCAAATAATCACCTTGTTATGACGGTCAACCTCCTCAAAAGGCTGCTTCTCCCTGTGCGCTTCATGCATCGAGCCTATCCTACTTGTAATTTTGAAAGGAGACCAAGACGATTCTAAGCCATCAACGGTTTCCTTGGGTGGTACTGTGAAGGCCCTGTTCAAGGTCTTAGGGTTTAGGGTTTAGGGGTTTTAGGGATTAAGGTTACAAGAGTGTCCTAGAGGTTTTTGATCCTAAATTTCTCTCAATATATCTCTTTTTTTTTGTTTTGAATTTTTTCCAAGGCTTACATTGTCTTAAAGCCTTCTATAAATATTTTTATTTTCCAAAAATATGTGTTTTTTTTAGATTTTTGGATTTAAAAATCGGAACTAGGGTCTAGGTTTAGGGTTTAGGGTTTAGGGTTTAATTAGGATCTACAGACCTTAATTAAGGATCTAAGTTTTAAAAGATGTGAGATTCATGCATAGAGTTGATAGCCACATACCTCAAATGGCTAAGTGGGATTTTCACGAAACTGACGTGGGACTAGAATCTCACGCTTTTCGTGCACACACACCGTCCTTCCACCATAAACCGGATGTGACTTTCATGTCCACTTCGGCCCTAGCAGAGTATAGGATCCACAAAAACATCACATACCTGAACAAGTATTGGAGGTATAATATGTGATCAGGATGGACTCCTTCTTCGTGACTTCTCAACAACCGGTTCCGAAGTAGCACAAAAATCAGGCGGGGCAATGCTTATAGTTGGGAGCACCCTGAGAACGCCACATCCAACCTGCTGTGAATGTTGGGCTGTTTGAATTCGGCAAGCTTGCAGTAGTCGTCGTATTGTACGATGAGAATCATCAGCAAATCATGTAGGAGGGCGCGTGCTTCCTTTACACTTTCATCCAAAGATGTTCGAATGATCTGTCATTTGGCAGAGTGGGATGGACAGGTGACTTTTACATATCGCCAAAGATTTTACAAAATTACATCTGTTTTACTAGACTTCATGAATCACTAAAAACAAGATCATAGTTACAACAAAAAGTACGCTAGTTTACATTTGCATGACTTGGAACCTTTCGGAGTAACTTCTGTATTAGGACGACTAAGATAACCTCGATGTTTGTGCTCTCGTACAACTCTATAAGATTAGCAGCTACATCTATTTGCAGGGTGCGCAACCAGCTGCACCTCTTCACGGTATAAGCTTGACTACAACCACATGAAAGCACCACATGTTATAGAACTGTCGATGATTTGTAATGTGCAATAAGTTATGCTTCATCTTTGGAGTTCAAGGTCGACGCCGCCAGGATGGATCCTACTGATGTTCCTGTCTGGCCTCATCCTGGATCGAAGTCCGCATCTACCACCACCGTCAGTCCAACCGACAAGGTAGACGTCGATACGACCTGCTTCATGGTAGCCCTTTGCAACCTTTGTAGTCTGGTCGGAGAAGTCGTGCATCTGGCGAATCGTAAAGTCAGCCTAAGCAAACTTGGGATCTTTCAAGAAATGGGTGCATGTGAGTTCTGATCTTGTTGTCATGAAAGTGAACCAGGTTTAGGGTTTAGGGTTTAGGGTTACAAGGGTGTCCCCGGTTTTCGGGCATAATTATTTTTGGATTTTGACTTGACCTACCCCCCCATTTATGGTGTCTAGGATGTCAATGGTATAATTCTTTTCCTATACAAGTTTATAGTTTGGAAGATTTAGCTACTTTGACTTGGAGTTTAGGGTTTTGACTTTTGTCATACAAGGTTTTTTGAAATTTTTGAAAAGTCCATTGGATTTGTTTAAGGGTTGCCAATTCTAAATATGGGCTTGAAGTTTTGAAAAGGTGCATATATTTGTAGGTATTAAGTGTTTGACTATTTTGACTTTTGAGTTGACTTTGCATATGAATAGGAATTTTGAAGTTTTGATTTGAGCTATCCCCCTATTTTAAGGGTCTAGGAATCTAATGATGGTCTTGAAATCCTATACATGTTTTTCAATTTTGAGATATAAGGCGTTTGACTTGATACAATTTTCTGTTGACTTTTTGTATACTTTATTGTTTTGAATTTTTGATTTGACCTATCCCCCTATTTATCATGCTTCTGATTCCAATGGTATGTTTAAAATTTTCAGCAAGTTTATAGTTTAGGAGATATGAGATTTTCAAAATAGCAAAATTTGCCTTTCATTAATATATGAAAAAAATATTATAAAAATATGAAATAAATACATAGAGACTTTTGGACATTATAATAATATATTGGATAATTTATATAGGTAAATGTCTTTTTTTTTTTGGAAAATATCATATTTATACTATATGTACATATGATTTAACTTTATATTATATGTGTTCTAAGCCTATGCAATGGATTGAACATGATTCCGCCAATTTGCACCATATTCTTGAATGAAGTGGCGAGCTCCTCCAACACGATCTTCATACACTCCATCCTTTTTCCAATATGCACCACTATTGGTCTTCTTTAACATCAAGCCATCTACACGTCTATCTATGACCCTACTATGAACAAACCAATGTGCATTGTGAAGAAATTCAAAGATGAGAGGACGAATATTTGGATCATCTTGCTCCCAACCATCGTAGAGGAATTGCCCCACTTGTATCAATGCTTGTTGACTTGCTTGGGCACTTCTCCACTCTCTTGCTTGTTGAAGTTGTCGCTCCATATGCTTGCCACTCCATCCTATTGCTTGTCTAGCAAATGTTAAGGCACTCTTGACTCGAATAGAAGGTGCATATGAATTTCTTCCATGAATCTCATTGGCCAACGTTGCTAAATGACTATGGCATATTTGAAAGAATCTTTGTAAAGATCCTTCTCGTATATCAAAATGACCTCCTATAGCTCTTTCTATGCCAGAATATTCAAAAAGGTCAAGATTACTACAAAGTTTACGTCCATCTATTATTTTCTCTGTACGAACACTAAGCTCCAATCTCATGCCTAAAAGACAATTTCTTGATATATCTTCAGACATTCCTTCCCACTTTGCTAATAGGTCTCGCATTTGATTTAGTCTAATACGCATAGTACGAATTGTCCTAGGCATATCATCTAAACATTGCTTTTGTATGACAGCCAATATTGCATGGCATAACTCTTGATAGAGCTTGACTTTGACTATACGATTGTCTATCTTTGGCTTAAAAGATAATGATCCATATCCTTCTACATTGCACATTTCGTATACTTGATTTTCTATAATCCTTTGACTTTGTAATTGAGCATTACTAAACTTGAAGAGCATAATATTATTCTCTGGAAAATTGACTCCATAGTCATAGAGATTCTTACCAAGAGAAAAAGTATGACCCATTTCTGCATGGTAACGTTCTATGAAAAAATCTATCTTTGGCTCAGCAATAGGAATTTCCCACTTCATACCAAAAA